TCTAAGCATCTGGATTCCACAAGGCTTGTTACCAAAATGTGTTCCAGTCCCCTTCCCTCTTTAGTCCTTCCCTCTTCTTTTTTTTCCCCACTTTCAAGGGAAGTGACTTTTTTTTCAGTTTTAGTAGTCTTTGGGGTTTACTTTCACAGTTCTAAGTTCTATACTTGATTTACTACTTCTTGACTTTTTGGTATTGGACATTATTTATGGAAAAATTTATTTTGGGGGGGTGGTCTTTTTGAGACAGGGTCTCCCTGTAGCCCCAGCTGGCCTGGAACTTGCTATGTAGATTAGGCTATGTAGACTAGAGATCCTCCTGCCTCTGCCTCCCAAGTGCTGGGATTAAAGGCAGATGCTACCACGCCTGGCTGAAAAATTTCATTCTTAGAATTTCTTGAGGGCTGCAGAGATGGCTCAGGGGTTATAGAAGCTTATTGCTGTTCTTCCAGAGGACCTGCATTTGGTTCTCAGCATCCATGTCTGGTGACCCACGACAGTCTGTATCTCTAGCCCCAGGGATCCAACACCCTCTTCTGGCCTCTGTGGGTACCCACGTACACACACTCACAAGCACATTGCCAAAAATAATTTTTTTTTACACAGGGTTTCTTTGGAAAGACTATGGCAGGAAGTTGATGTGCCTGGAGCAGGGAGTTGAGCTAGGAGGAAGCAAGTCGTGACAGTACGAGATGTATGAGTATATTGCTTGCATAAACTAGGCTGCAGGCCTAGTTTGGTGGCGTGGTGCTGACTCTTGTAAAGACATCGGAGCTTTTTCAGCAAGGGTGTGTTTTAATTGTATTTATTTGGAGAGGTTATTGAAGTGTGGGAAGAGCCCTGGTGGTGTGGAGACCAGATGGCAAGAAGGATGTTGCAACAGTCTGATGAGGGGAGAGGTACTGAGGTGGGTTTTTTTGGTCTTTTTGAGACAGGGTCTCCCTGGAGCTCCAGCTGTCCTGGAACTCACTATGTAGACCAGGCTGGCCTTGAACCCACAGAGATCTGCCTGCCTCTGCCTCCTGAGTGCTGGGATTAAAGGCGTGCGCCACCATGCCCGGGTTGGGTTTTTTTTTTTGTTTTGACTGAGGAATAAGAGATGCTAGTCTCTCACACCATGCAATTATGTAAAATTAAGCTAGTCTATCGTGGAGGTGGTTTAGCTATGGGAATTTTAACCTCTGTGTGTGCTGTGCATTCTCTGCCTGTCAAGATGTGCAACATTTCAGCTTAACGTTTCTTGGTGCCAGCCAGGTATGGTGGCACAAGCCTGTAACCCTGGCAACATAGTGAGCTCTAGACCAGCCTGGGTAGCATGAGACCCTGCTTCAGAAGACAAAAACAAAGCAAAATTCCCTGATGCTAAATAGGAAGGTCTGGAACTAAGGCACAAAAATTTATTACTAATTCTGGGTGTAAGCTAGAAAATAAGGTGGAGTTAATGATGACTCCAAACTTGGGAGACTGGGTAGACTGGATGGTGATGCTAGGTACTAGGGAGGGTCAGATTTTGGTGGAAGAGTTGGTTCTGTCCTACAGTGGAATCAAACTTAGGTGGTCCCACTTGGTGGCAAGTGCTGTTAACTGATGAACCATCTCACTGGCCCCAGAGATGTCATTTTCTATAATAGTAATAAAAAGATGTTGCATGTTAACTCTTTGTTAATGATAAATAACTAAGGTACAGGATGTACAGCAGTGAACAAAACGGGCCTGATGCTTTCCCTCATGAATACTATACACGAATAACATGGTAACATCCTTATTACTGTTGAATTGTGTGAGAAGACTAAATTCTGTTCTCCACAAGTTCACCTATGAGAAGTTTGCCTATCAGATACAGGTCAGAATGCTATTTTTCTTTTTTAAAAATTTATTATTTGGGGGCTAGAGAGATAGCTCAGTGGTTAAGAGCACTGACTGCTCTTGCAGATGACCCAGGTTTGATTCCCAGCACCCACATGGTGGCTACGAACCATCCTTAACTCCAGTTCCAGGGGGATCTGACGCTCTCTTCTGACTTCTGCTGCATTGCACGACATGGGTGCACTCACATACATACAGGCCACTCATGCACATAAAATAAAAATAATAAGATTTAAAAAAATTATTTTTTATAATAAATAAAAATATTTATGGCTGGCCTACATCTCACAGAGATCTGCCTGCCTTTGCCTCCCAAGTGCTGGAATTAAAGGCATGCACCACCATGTCTGGCCTGGAGTAACTTTTTCTTTTTGTTTTTTTTTGGTTTCTTTGAGATAGGGTCTCCCTGTAGCCCCAGATGTCCTGGAACTCACTACGTAGACCAGGCTGGCCTTGAACGCACAGAGATCCACCTGCCTCTGCCTCCCAAGTGCTGGGATTAAAGGCGTGTGCCACCACACCTGGCTTGTTCTTCTTTTTTTAATGTGTATGAGTGTATTGTGTGCATGTGTGTAAGTGCACCTGTGTCATGCAGTGCCTGAGGAGGTCAGAAGAAGGCATTAACCCTAAAACTGGTTGTGGTTGTTAGCTGCCATGTGGGTGCTGAGAATCAAACCCCAGTCTTCTGCAAGAGCAGTCAGTACTCTTTCTTAACCACTGAGCCATTGCTCTAATCCCTTACATTGAAATTTTGTGTATGTGCGCGCTTGTGCGTTTGTGCGTATGTGTGGGTGCCCAAGTGTGTGGAGGCAAGAGGTAGACATATTCTGTGTCTTCCTCAGTAACTTCTTCACGTTTTGTTTTTTTGGGTTTTTTTTTTCTTTCTTGGTGATTTTGAGACAGGGTCACCCTATAGCCCCAGCTGGCCTGGAACTCACTATGTAGACCAGCTGGCCCTGAACTCACAGATTTGCCTGCCTCTGCCTCCAGAGTGCTGAGATTAAAGGCATGCTCCACTATGCCCAGCCTTTCTTCATGTTTTCTGAAACAGGGTTTCTCACTGAAACTGGAGCTCACTAGTTATCTATATTAGCTGACCAGAGACCCTCCTGTCTTTGCCTCCCCTGAGCTGAAATTACAGACTTGTTACATGGGTATTGGGGGTGGGACACAGGGCTTCATGGTTATGTGACAAGCACTTTACACACTGAGCCACCTTCCAGCCCCCTAGTTATATAAATTATTACTGTTTGTATTGATACCGTATCTTTGATCAGATTGCTTGGCAGAGCAAAAAGGGATTTTTTTTTTCCTTTGAGACTTCTCTAATATAGTAATTCATATATTGGGACTCTAGTACAATACTTTTTGACAGTATGCTTCTAGTAATTAAGCAGAGCATCTTACTGCAGCCAGTTATTTCAAGTTATCGTCTCATGGATTTCCTCATAAAATTTCCATTAAAATTGACCCAAAAGTAAAATTTTCAGTTTTTGAGATCAAAAGTAATGTAGCCAAGTGTTGCCAGGCATAGTGGTACATACCTGTAATCCCAGTACGTGGGAGGTGGAGGCAGAAGGATTATAAATTTGAGGCCATCCTGGGCTACATAATAAGACCCTGTCTTGGGGGGGGTGGGGAAGGCAAGGGAAGGAAAGGGAAAAGTATCCCAAAGGATAAAACAAGCTGAGTGTAGTGGCACATGACTTTAATACCAGCACTTGGGAGCCAGAAGACAGTGAATCTCAAAGCCAGTCTGGTCTACATAGCAAGTCCCTGGCCAGTTGGGGCTGCTGGGAGGTCCTGTCTAAAAATAAACAAAAAAACAAAGGGTAAAACAAGGGATAAGTGATCCTAAAAAGTTTGTAAATTCAAGACCAGCCTGGTCTGCATTGTGAATTCTAGGTCAGCCAGGGCTACATAGTGAGACCCTGCCTCAAAAAACAAAAAACAAAAAACAAAAAAAACAGAAACAAAAAAATTTGGAAGTGTGTATTTAGGTAAAGATAAAGGGAGAAAGACTCAATTCATGATAGTTCCTGGTTGCTCGTAAAAATTGTCCTTTTTCTTTTCTTTTTGTCTTGAGACAGGGTCTCCTTGTAGCCCCAGCTGGCCTGGAACTCACTATGTAGACCAGGCTGGCCTGCCTCTGCTCTGGGATGTATGCTGCCACACCTGGCAGTTGTACCTTCTAAGTCAGATTGCACCTTTGTTATTTATTCATTTGTCTTTTAAAATCCTCCCCTTTAAAGTATATGCTTCACTGTTTTTTTATTTTATTCGCCAGCCCTCTTTTTATTTTCATGCATAAGCTTCTTGTGTTACCAGGAGGAAAGCTAATGTGAGCCACACACTCCTGCTGCAGCCTAGGCTGATGGTTATTTGGAATACTTTGGTGTAAGCAGTGGCTGGTACTGAAAAATTTACAAGTACCTCTGGATTCTGAAACTGAATTTACTTTTGAATACTTGGCTGATTTGTTGGCAAATTAATACAGTATTTTTCAGACTATGCATTCTCTTTATATAGCAATTTATCAGAACAAAGAAAATTATGCTTTTTGCAATCATAGTGCTTTTAGAATCTGAGGTAAAAACCAGTGTTAGACATTGCTGTGTCCATCTTCTCATTAACTTTCTTCCTTTTGCTGTTCAAAAATTATTGACAAATTATTTCTATTGAAAATAAGTGTGCCCTGCTTAGACCTTAGTATTTCATTGGACTGTTACGTAATTCTTAAGGTATAGTACTAAAATCATTGAGGACTTCAATTTTATTTTATTATTTTATCTATCTATCTATCTATCTATCTATCTATCTATCTATCTACCTACCTACCTACCTACCTACCTACCTACCTAGCAACCAACCACCCACCCACCTACCACCTACCTACCTATCTATCTATTTATTTTTTGGTCTTTTCAAGACAAGGTCTCCATGTAGCCCCAGCTGTCCTGGAACTCATCATTCTGTGGACCAGGCTAGCCTTGAACTCCCAGAGATTCACCTGCCTCTGCCTCCTGAGTGCTGGGATTAAAGGCGTGTGCCACCACGCCCAGCTGAGGGCTTCAATTTTAAATAGAAATTTTTTTTCTTGTTGTAATTGCAATGAATGTTTTAAATTATTCTTTTAGATCCATCATGTTACAGAAAATGGAGGACTGTATAAAAGACCATTTAATGAAGCCTTTGAGGAAACGCCCATGCTGGTTGCAGTGCTCACATATGTGGGCTATGGTGTGCTCACCCTCTTTGGATATCTTCGAGATTTCCTTAGGCATTGGCGGATTGAAAAGTGCCACCATGCAACGGAAAGAGAAGAACAAAAGGTAATTGTTAGTCTTTGAGTTTATAGATGGAATCCTTTCATGGAGATCTTGATTTTTTACATAGTTTTTTATTTTTCCTTAGAAATTTGGGCACATGTTAAGGTAAATATTCTAAATGTAGTTGAATTTTGTGAAAACAGCACTTAGGAAGTTGAGGCGGGAGGATTGCCATGAATTTGAGGCCAACCTGGGCTACAGAGTGAAACTGTCTCAAAACAAAGCAAAAACAAAGTAACAGTAACAAAACTGAAAACATTTTACAGAGTTAAAGGTATGGAAAGAGCAAAGAAATGAACACATTTTTAACTTCGCCACTACAAGAATTTTATGAAGTCGATAACACTGTCCTGTTTCATGGATTAGAAAGCAAAAATCTCAAGTACTGTGTCCACAGATGCTGTGCATTACAGCTGATATGTGGCCAAAGGAACATGAAGTGCCACACTCCCTGTACATGATTCTGTCTGGATCCTGTGCTGTGTTTGCAATCATCTGCAGACACTGGATTCTCTTGGACACATTGGACATAGTTGTACTGTTCTCAGATCAGTGCCTCTCCCAAAACAAGCCCAAAATGTGGCTGTGCCAGTCTGTTTACAGTAGCAAAAGATCTTTTGGTGAAGGTATCCAAAGGAGATAGTTGCCATCCCCAGAGAGGGCTGGATCCACTATGGGTCACTTTTCTCAGTACACTCCTTTATACCGTTATTTTATTTTTATTTTTTTTGGTCTTTTTGAGACAGGGTCTCCCTGTAGCTCCAGCTGCCTAGAACTCACTCTGTAGACCAGGCTGGCCTCGAACTCACAGAGGATCTGCCTGCCTCTGCCTCCTGAGTGCTAGGATTAAAGGCATGCGCCACCACGCCCAGCGTATCCCTTAGTTTTCTTTTTTTTTTTTCTTTTGTCTTTTTGAGATAAGATCTCCCTGTAGCCCCAGCTGTCCTGGAACTCACTACATAGACCAGGCTGGCCTTGAACTCAGAGATCCACCTGCCTATGCCTCCTGAGTGCTGGGATTAAAGGCATGTGCCACCACGCCTGGCTACCCTTAGTTTTTTGAAAAAAATGTTTATTTGGGGCTTGAGAGATGGCTTAGTGGTTAAGAACATTGGCTGTTCTTCCAGAAGATACAGGTTCAAATCCCAGTACCCACATGGCAGCTAACAACTGTCCATAACTCCAGTTCCAGGTGATCTGACAGCCTCTTCTGACCTCTGTGGGCATTGCACGACACAGGTGCACTTACCTACATGCAGGCAATACACTCTTATTAAAAAAAATTTTGTTTATTATTTTTATTTTATGTGTATGGGTGTATTACCTGCATGTAGGTGAGTGCACCCGTGTCCTGCAATGCCTCAGAGATCAGAAGATGGCTTCCGATTCTCCTGGAACTGGAGTTAAGGACAGTTTGTAGCCACCATGTGGGTGCTGGGAATCGAACCTGAGTCCTCTGCAAGAGCAGTCAGTGCTCTTAACCGCTGAGCCATCTCTCTAGCCCCTATACCTTTAGTTTTTCACTTTGCATATGTATTGCCTATTCTTAATGAACAGAGACAGGGTTGAAAAATGCCTAATTTTACAAAGAATAAGACAGTCATTTTGGCTCCTGACTTCTGAATATAGATATACTATATACCAGCTTAGGAAATGTACCAGATTAGGAAGGGCTTAAGATGTTAGCTTTTTCTTTTTTCTTTGTTCTTTTTGTCTTATTGAGACAAGGTCTCCCTGTAGCCCCAGCTCTCTTGGAACTCACTATGTTATGTAGACCAGGCTGGCCTCAAACTCACAAAGATCTGCCTGCCTCTGCCTTCTGAGAGCTGAGATTAAAGGCATGCGCCACCACACCAAGCCCAGCCTTTTATTGTTTTCAACTCAATTTTTTTTTCTTTCTTTATTTTATTGAACCATACTAGTGTTCTTTCAGGGATAAACATACGGACAAGGGCAGGGCCTTGTGGTGCACACCTTTAATCCCAGAACTTGGGAGGCAGAGGCAGGAGGATCTCTGTGAGTTCAAGGCCAGTCTGGTCTACATTGTAAGTTCTAGGCCAGCTGGGGCTATAGGGAGACCCTGTCTCAAAAAGATGCCCCCCCATTCCCCCTCTACCCCTCTACCCCCCCTCCAAGAGAAAAACAAACAAACATACAGACAAGTAGGCTACAGTGAAAAAAAATCTTGATTTTGTGAGAGTCTGGAAGTGATAAAATAATTCCAGGTATTCCTTCAGTGAACCTTGTTACTGCTGTGGGTTTCTAGGATATATTCAGCCCCTAGAGCTACCACAAATGCAGCAAATCCCCATTTGAATTCTTTAACTATTACTGAAGGAAACATTGTCTACAGAGCCACCCATGTATATCCTCAAGCTTCATTGTGGGCCCATGGGGCCCTTAGCCCCCATGCAGCCAGTATCTGGACAGCTTCTAATGGTGTACTTTTCTATTTTCCACTGTCTGTAACCTGGAAGCTCCATTTTACTATGTCCATGACCATGTCTATGACCATTCTCCTCTCCATGTCCAGGGGCCATGCCTGACAGCAATCTGATCTCTCAGGACACTGAGTATTCAACCTTCCAGCTGGAGCCCTCAACTCTGTTCTTTTAGGGACTAGAAAGATGACTCAGAAATTAGGAGCTTGTTCTGCCCTTGCAGAGAACCCAAGTTTGGTTCCCAGCACCCACATCAGGAGGCTAACAACTACCTATAACTACAATTTCAGGTGCCTCTAGCCACATTGGGCACCCCCACACGTACCTATACCTGTACACAGACACATACATACATATAATTAAAAATCATTTAAAAAAATCTTTAAAAAATTATTCTTTGAGCCAGGTGTGGCGGCGCATGCCTTTAATCCCAGCACTCAGGAGGCAGAGGCAAGTGGATCTCTTGAGTTCAGGCCAGCCTGGTCTACATAGTGAGTTCTAGGACAGCTGGGGTTATAGGGAGACCCTGTCTCAAAAAGACCAAAAAAAAAAAAACCCCAAAAACTTATTCTTTGAGAATTTCATACGGTGTATCATGATCATATTCATCCTACTCCCTATTGTTTTCCCTCCAACTCCCCCAGGACCTCCCCAGCATGTCCCCCTTCTGACTCATGGCCTCTTTTTTTTCTTTCTATTTTAAAAATATTTTTTATTATTTTTATTTTATGTGTATGAGTGTATTACCTGTATGTATGTGAGTGCACCTGTGTCGTGCAGTGTCGCGGAGGTCAGAAGAGGGTGTCAGATTCCCCTGGAACTGGAGTTAAGGATGGTTTGTAGCTGCCATGTGGGCGCTGGGAATTCAACCCGGGGCCTCTGCAAGAGCAGTCTAAACCACTAGCCCCTCTTTTTTTTTTTTTTTTTTTTTAAAGACAAGCCCCACCTGGCCTGGAACTCACTATGTAGACCAGGCTACCTCAATCCCACAGAGATCTACCTGCCTCTGACTCCCAAGTACTGGGATTAAAGGCATGTGCCACCATGTCCAGCCCTTCATGTCCTCTTTTTAAAAAAAATACTTATTTTATGTATATGAGTATATTGCCTGCATGCATGTAAGTATACCTGTGTTGTGCAGTGCTTATGGAGGTCAGAAAAGGATGTCAGATCCCCTGGAACTAGGGTTACGGATGGTTGTTAGCTGCTATGTGGGTGCTGGGAACCTGGGCTCTCTGCAAGAGCAGTCAGTGCTCTTAACCACTGAGCCATCTCTCCAGCCACCCATGTCCTCTTTTTATTGTTTTTTATATACCACTGCATGCCTGTGTGTGCATGGGTGTGGAGCCATCCTCTGGAGAATGGGCCACCTACTAGTAACTTTACCCACATGCTTTGTGTGTGTGTGTGTCTGTCTCTGTGTGTGTAGTCTAGGCCACAAAGGACAGCCTCCAGTGTCACCTCTAGGAACTCTGACCACCTCATTTGAGATACGGTCCCTCATTGGCCCATAGCTGCCAATTAGGTTTTAATGACTACCCAGTGGACCCTGGGGATCAGTTGCAGCAGGTGTTACAGATTGTGCCACCATGCCTAGCATTTTTACATGGTTCTAGGGATTGAACTCAGTGGGAGTCAAATACTTTACTGACTCAGCTCTATCTCCCTAGCCCCTAGATGTTAGCTTTTTTATTTTTTGTTCTTTTTTGAGATAGTGTTTCCTTATAGCCCCAGCTGGCCTGGAACTCACTATGTAGACCAGGCTGGTCTTGAACTCACAGAGCTTTGCCTGCCTCTGCACAGAGCTTTGCCTGCCTCTGCCTCCCATGTGCTGGGATTAAAGGCATGTACTACCACGCCCAGCCCAGATGTTAGCTTATTTATTGTTTTTGGGTTTTTTTTTGACACGGTATCCCCAGCTCCCCTAGAAGTTACTGTGTGGACCAGGTTGGCTTCCATCTCAGAGAGGTCTGCCTGCCTCCCAAGGGTTGGGATTAAGGATGCACCCCTCCCCATGTATGGGCCCACCTACTAGTAACTTTACCCATTATGTAGCTTTTTAACCCACCTCCATGTTAGCATTTTTATTGTACACCATTGTTCTCACTCTTGTGGGATAGGTGATGATGGTAAGATCATCCCTGAGAGAGGAGCCAGTGAAGGAAGAGAAAGAATGCACTAAGGAAATACAGGAAAATTGAACATGGTTTTTTATGCTTCAAATCACAGCACTTGGTAGGCTTAGGCAGAAGGATTGCTATCAATTCAAAGCCATCCTGGGCTACCTTGTGAATTGCCTTGTCAATTCAAGGCCAACCTGGACTATAAAATTCAACCTGGGCAACAAAGCAAGGCCCTGTGAGAGATAGAAGACCTATTCTCTCATTGCAATTATTTTGTCACATTTCTCAGCCCAGCCTCACAAGTTGGCCTTCCTGCATGTTGCCCTGAAATGCCTAAAAGATAATTTCATCAAGAAAGTATGTTTTTAAACTGTGCCCTATAGTGTATACCTTTAAGACCTAGCACTCAGAAAGCAGAGGCCATGGTGGGCCGCTGAGT